TCCTTAGGATCAGAACCGTCGCAACTGCCATGTTGCTCGACGCCGGCAGAGGACGGCATTGCGGTCTGCAGAGAAGCACAGGCACCAACATCATCGACAGTTTCAGTTTGTTGGACAGAGTTGGAAGACGCAGCAGCATTTTCTTGCTCGAGCAAGGCGGCAGCCCGCTGAGCAGCAATCTTCTTGTAATGTGCTTCAAAGAAAGCTTTCTTCTGAGCAACAGATCCAGGGCGAGAGAACTTCTCAGCTTCTTCAACGTAGCGATTGTGGGAAAAAGTGGACCATTTATCCCAAGCCAAAGACTCGGACATGAATCTCCCGAAGGAGACGGACTGGCCAAGAGCATGAATTGGATGATTGCCCTAAAAGAAACAGAGAGGAAGACAGAGAAGAAATGATTGAAATGGAATCCGAATTGAAACAAATTGTACAGAAATTACGAAGGGGAATGGTGGGGACTGACTGACCTCCATGGATTCATTAGGAAAACCTGAAGTATAAGAGAAAGGGTGCTGAATGAGGCAAGTTGAATCTGCCATGGAAGCTCCCAACTGCAAGAAACAAAAACAAAAGAAAAAAAAAAGAAACCCCAAGCTCGAGAAATGCTTGTATTATTGCATATGGGTTCTGGGTATTATTTTGTCATGTCGGAAACTGGAAAGCTTTCAAATTTTGAATTTCAAACAAGAGAAAAAGGTGCTCACCTGCAAGAGTAAAAAATAATATAAAAATATGCAAAAAGGAAGAACATGGTCCTGCAACTTTTTTTTATTTTATTTTATTTTATTATTATTATTATAATTTTATATACGTATAAATATATATGTTGTATGAAAGATTAATTTAGAGAAAGATCATAAGTTTATAATTAAGGAATACTATCTCCATTGATATAAGGCCTCTTGGGAGAAGCTAAAGCAAAGTCTAGAGAACTTATTTTCAAAGTGAACAATATGAATTCATAAGTAAGGTATGCTATCTCTGTTGGGATGAAACTTTTAAGTCTCGGTTGGATGAAATTTTTAAAGAATACTATATCTGTTGGGATGAAGCTTTTTGAAAAGTCTAAAGTAAAGTCATGAGAGCTTCAGAAATACTATCTCTGTTAGGATGAAACTTTTTGAGAAGTCTAAAACAAAGTCAGCTTCAAAGTGGACAATATCATATAGAGTCGTGTTCATTTAACAATATATATATTGAATTTTAAATCTGAAATAAATAAGTCAATGTCAATTAATGTAAGTTATATTTGGTTATAATTTTGTCCTTATCCTATGTTTGATTGTATTATTTAAAAACTATAAGTTTTTGCAAGAATTAAATATTGAGCTAACAAATTTAAATTAAGATGGAGAACTAAGCGATTTAATAACTAGTTTTGACGGGAAGATTATAAAATTTATAAATTATAACTTAATTTTTTTTTTAATATTTTAAATAGGTGATAAGATGGAGAATAAATTAATAAATAGTTTTGACTGGTAGATTATGAAAATGGTAATTATGTTTACCATTTCTTAAGAAATTACATGAAAATTCAGCCAAATAATTAATTGCAAATAATGAAAAACAAAATTAATTTTTTAAGACAAATATAAAATTAAAATAATTATTAATATTACTTTAATCGGGAATGGGTCCATTGGGTGGAGATACCCGATTTCAACGGCCAAATTTTGTTGGTGAATTTAAATTTAAAGTGCCCTAACGGCTTAACTCAACCTAACAAACAAAAAAAAGTTTATTATTAAAATACTGTAGCTTTTAATCCACGTAGGCGTACTTTAGTGAAGAGAGAGACATATTTTTATTTATTGTAGAAACAAAAATGCTTTAAATATTTTTAAAAATATGAAGCACTCTTATCTATTCACTGAATAATAATAAAATATCTAAAATTCAAAATTTATATATATATATATATATATATATATTATATTTTATGGAATCAATTTTGACCTAATTAATTTAAAATTTCTTTATAATAATTTTCAAGTTTATTATTGAAATAGAGAATAAATTTCAAAAACAGCTACAAAATTATTATTTTTTTAAATAGTAATTTTTTAATTTATTTATATTCTTTGGTGTTATTTATATTATTTATATTCTCGATTATATGGGGTAAATGCACGCCTTTTCGGAGGATAAAAGCCCATCAATAAATCAGATGGTTGCGTACATGAATGCTATTGAGTGAAGCCTAAGGAGAGTTATTTTTTCTTCGTGCAGTAATTCTCAAACGACAAACTTCTAATCTTCGAGATAGTAATTAACATCTTATTTACAAATTTGAGAAGTTAAATATGCAACAGTGAAAACTTTTAATATACTCGATTTGAACCGAACCGAGCTACAATAGTGGTAAGTAAGAAATCCTTATCCCAAAGAAAGAGAAAGAGAGTGTATGGTAGTTGAGGGTAGGGAAGGAATGGAATTGGATGAACAACCGGTGGTTAGGAATTAGGAGCTTACATTATTCTTGATTGAGACCTCGTATTTGTTTGGTAATGGTAATAATGGTAATAATGGTTAGAAATGTCCATTTTATCGGCCCGAACAAGATTCTCTGTTTAAACCGAAAATGGAGTGAGAGAGAACATTTTTCCCATAAATGAGACTCGGGACAAGCTGCTCCACCTCACTTAATATAAATATATTTTCAACACACATATATATATACACACACATTTTTTTGCTATATTAAAAAAATTAATTAATTAGTTCGAGACTCTCACGGGAATATTTAAACTAAAAGTTATATTATAATATTAAATTGAGAATTTTACGGAGATATATAATGTAATAAGTGGTGAAGATGGGGTCGAGAAAGACTTCCCCGCCTCTACCCCTCCCCATAGATATCTCTGCCCACGACAAAAAAATAAATAAATAAATAAATAAATAAAGCACATATTTTATAAATGGAATATTATTTTTTAATGATAATGGAACTTAGGTCAAATGAGAGCACCCATTTTGATGGAAATAAAGGGAGGAATTTATTCTACTCCAATTTAAATAATATAATTTTTTTTTAATTAAAAATATAATATTATGATTTGATCGCCAGCCGCATTAATTTTCATGATTTTACTTTTAATTTTCACAAGCTAAGCTCGAGATGATGACAATACACCATTAAATGTATGTTCTCTACCATAGTTATATTTGATATCACAAATTAATAAATCGACTACAACGACACGTAGTTGTTGGGCTAAATTGGTTAGGCCAATATATCGTTCTAGTGTAGGTATAAATTCACCCAAAATTAATTAATATAAGAAAATAATTTTTATTTTATTTTATTTTAGACTTCCACTAAGTCAAAATTCGGTAATCATTTTCCATATCTTTTTTCCAATAACTATAAATATTTATTTAGTGTAAACTTTAACTATTTTTTTATTTTATTTTATAAATTTTAAAAATATATTATTTGATTCCCATTTGTGTCCAACATCCATGTGCATGTTAAACAATTCAGACAAAATAATGAAAAATAGCTCAAATTATTTTTTTTATAGCTCAAAATATAATAAATCTAAATTTTAAACGACTAAAATAAATACTTTAAAACTGCGAACAAGCTCTCTGTCTCTCGAACTCCACCACATGTTGGAATTGAGTGCTTGATTGATCGTTGACTATCTAACACGCAATTAATCCCTATGCTTGTTGGTTGATCAGATCTTTGAGTTAAGGTTAACTGATCAGCTGGGTTGAGTTGACTAGACATGCAGTATTAGTTCGTTGGCGAAGATAGCTCGATGCAAAGTCGAACTTTCCTCTTCGAAATGGCCGATTAAAGAAAAAACTCGAAAGAAATTTGTTCATTTTACATCGACGACCCGATTTTTTTTATTTTTTTTAATTATATCTAACATAATTTTTAATGTATAAACAAAAAAAAACAATAATTTGAGAAAAAATGAAGCATTAAATTTATGAATTTTATAAATAAACGAGATAAATGTGCGGCGAATCAAAAAAGTAGGTCCAAGTGGTCCATAATAAGATCAAAAAGGTCGGCCCATTTGAGAGGGTAAAACAGTAATTCAGACTCCTCCAAATTACTTTTACTATTTACCCGTCTACAATGGAAGTTACCGTTTCTTTCTGTACCGTACTCGTAACATATAAAATATCACATCAAATATGTAGTTTTATTCACAAGATATGCTAATTATTGGTTTAATAAACTATACTTTTTATATTTAATTCACACAAACAATCAAATAATGTAATATTATAATAATTTTGTTTACCATATAAATAATATATTTTATTAATTATTGGAAGATGATGTTGAATATGCTTAATGATAATATATATATATATATATATATCCACAAGTTTCCATTTTTATAAGTTTTATTTTAACTTTTTCAAGTTGAAAAATTGTTTAAAAATAAGGTGATCCCGGCTTTTGATGATATGTAGGGGCTAAAACGGACAATATCTACTAACAATTGGCTTGGACGGTTGCGAATGATATTAGAGCCAAACATTGGATGGTGTGCCAATAAGAGCGCTAGACGCTGAAGTACGTGAATTGTGAGATCGTACATTGATTGAAACCAAGAAAAAAATATTGGTTATAAAGGTGTGGAAACCTCGTAACGAACCAAAGCGAATCTCCTATGAAGCAATGTTTTCTTTCGGACCTGTGGACTAATTGATACGAAGTAGTTTGGGGTTTGGGGTTGGGCCTTGGAGAATTGAATGCAAGGAGGAGCTCCTCAGCTTGTGTTCCCACACCCCACGTTGATCCATGTTGTTCGAAGACTCTGTTTTTTATAATATACATAATACATTTATTGTTGCATCGGTAAGTCATTACGCAATTGGAACAAAGTTGATTAATTAATTGTTTGGTGTCAGACAAGCACACTGCATCCATAAAATACTCACCTCCCTAATTCCCTAATCTTCTCTCTCCTTCACAACAAACTCTTTTCTTCATCATCATCATCATATCATCACCGTCATCGAGAGAGAAACAGAGCTCTGAGAGAGACCCATCATTCAATTCAATCATAAAAAATGGAACTGCCTTCACTTTTACTTTCTCATTATCAACACCCAAATTAATTGCATCTCTGTTTCCTTTTAACATCACAAAGATTCACAATACAATCCAACCCTCTTTGATCTGATTCTCTTACTCTGTTTTTCTTGCTCTGTTTCTCATACAACAGTGAAAAGTTACAACAAACAGTGACCGACCGTCCAGATTCAGGGGGCAAAAACAGAGACATGAAACAGGGGAAAAACAGAGCAAAACACAAAAAATAGCAAGTAAATATCCTCAGACGATCGGACTTCTTCATCGATCTCGCCCAAGATTAAGAGCTTTTTTGAGAGATTTAGCACCCAACGGCTTACCTCTGAAAAGGGTTCATCGTGTTTCCTCCATCCCCATCTTCTCGCCTGTATCTGGGAGTTGCTCTGTTTCTGGCGCTGCTTACTCTGAACCAGACACATCGGGTCAAAAGAGGGAAATTTCAATGTTTCTCAGTTGGGTTTGTGAGATTTAAGNATATTTTATTAATTATTGGAAGATGATGTTGAATATGCTTAATGATAATATATATATATATATATATATCCACAAGTTTCCATTTTTATAAGTTTTATTTTAACTTTTTCAAGTTGAAAAATTGTTTAAAAATAAGGTGATCCCGGCTTTTGATGATATGTAGGGGCTAAAACGGACAAGTTGAAAAATTGTTTAAAAATAAGGTGATCCCGGCTTTTGATGATATGTAGGGGCTAAAACGGACAATATCTACTAACAATTGGCTTGGACGGTTGCGAATGATATTAGAGCCAAACATTGGATGGTGTGCCAATAAGAGCGCTAGACGCTGAAGTACGTGAATTGTGAGATCGTACATTGATTGAAACCAAGAAAAAAATATTGGTTATAAAGGTGTGGAAACCTCGTAACGAACCAAAGCGAATCTCCTATGAAGCAATGTTTTCTTTCGGACCTGTGGACTAATTGATACGAAGTAGTTTGGGGTTTGGGGTTGGGCCTTGGAGAATTGAATGCAAGGAGGAGCTCCTCAGCTTGTGTTCCCACACCCCACGTTGATCCATGTTGTTCGAAGACTCTGTTTTTTATAATATACATAATACATTTATTGTTGCATCGGTAAGTCATTACGCAATTGGAACAAAGTTGATTAATTAATTGTTTGGTGTCAGACAAGCACACTGCATCCATAAAATACTCACCTCCCTAATTCCCTAATCTTCTCTCTCCTTCACAACAAACTCTTTTCTTCATCATCATCATCATATCATCACCGTCATCGAGAGAGAAACAGAGCTCTGAGAGAGACCCATCATTCAATTCAATCATAAAAAATGGAACTGCCTTCACTTTTACTTTCTCATTATCAACACCCAAATTAATTGCATCTCTGTTTCCTTTTAACATCACAAAGATTCACAATACAATCCAACCCTCTTTGATCTGATTCTCTTACTCTGTTTTTCTTGCTCTGTTTCTCATACAACAGTGAAAAGTTACAACAAACAGTGACCGACCGTCCAGATTCAGGGGGCAAAAACAGAGACATGAAACAGGGGAAAAACAGAGCAAAACACAAAAAATAGCAAGTAAATATCCTCAGACGATCGGACTTCTTCATCGATCTCGCCCAAGATTAAGAGCTTTTTTGAGAGATTTAGCACCCAACGGCTTACCTCTGAAAAGGGTTCATCGTGTTTCCTCCATCCCCATCTTCTCGCCTGTATCTGGGAGTTGCTCTGTTTCTGGCGCTGCTTACTCTGAACCAGACACATCGGGTCAAAAGAGGGAAATTTCAATGTTTCTCAGTTGGGTTTGTGAGATTTAAGAAATTCTCCATGTGGATAGCTTCAAGAATCGGTGTAATCGTGCCAGCAGATGAGCATGGTGACGCATCGTCTCATGATGTAGAATCGAGCCCTCTGTTGTTCGACCAATCTAGCGCACTTTCTAGTAAAAGAGCACCTTCTGTGAGAGGAGGTTTTGATGAGAGGGAATGATGAGGAGCGGGTTCTGGTCAACCCCTCTTTCTTGGACGTCTTCCATTTGTCATCGAAGTAGAAAGAGGGATCGGTGGCAGTAGCAGTAGCAGTAGAAGCAGTTGCAGTAGCACCGACCAGGGAAGCCATGGATGAAGAAGCTTACACCCTTTTTCTCTCTCACACACACACAACTCGTGTGTGTTTTCTGTGAGAACAAGATGGGAGGATGGGGTTTGAGAGGTTGAAGGAGAGAGAAAAGGGAGGTGAGAAGGAACCTGGGGAAAGGGTTGTGGTTAGTAGTATTTATAAAGCATTTGAAAACAGAGTAGAGAACAAAGAAACAATGGCTGTGGAAAGGATGGGACCAAAAGCTCAGTGAATTAAGAAATGAACTACATATTTAGGGTACGGAAGCCTCACTCTAATAGGCACTTTTTAAAGTCATGAGGCCAAAGTGGACAATATCTACTAGTAATGTATGAGAATTAAAATGGGACCTGCGGGACTTTAAGCTCGAGGGATAATCGGAGATCTTTTACTTCACATAAGCCTACAAAACCGCTTTTAAATATAAAGTTAAACCAAAAGTTGAGTTTATAAACTTTCCTCATCACTATACTAAGAGAGTTCAATAATTGAAGAGTGTATTTGTCTGTTTTTTTTTTTCTTTTCCTTCAAAGATCAACATGACGTTATGACAACACATCAATTTGTTTCCATTCGAATCTAGAATTTTCCAACTACTTCAAGAAAGCATTTCCTTTTCACTGTTTCCTTTTTACCCATCTTTTATACTGTCCTTTGAAGCAGTAAAAAAATATGCTAGGGGAGATCGTGGCCCTTGTGCAGCTATCCAAGGATTGAGGGGCATGTGCCCTTAATTTGCTACTGTCCTTACAGCCTTGGCACTTATTTCATATCATTTATAACCAATTTGGTTCATATTCGGTAGAAAAACGAGATGTTTTCTATATGAAAGAGGCCTTGTATTTGTCTTTTCACACGTACCCTCTTGAATTATTGCTTTCGAAAGGACATCTCCGTCTCTTCCAACCCGGTGTCGTGTTCGAGTCAATTTGGGAGCGGTATTGAATATGAGGATGATTGTGACATAGTTACGTTGAAGATTTTAATCTCGACCCATAAGTCATTTGATAATTTAGACTTCTCCTAGAATTAAAATGGGACAGGCTGTTGAGTTGAGCTAAACACTCATAAGCAGGGTTGGCCCAGTTCCACAAAATTATTGGAAAGTCCAAGAAAAAGGCAATAATTTAGTGAGGTGTGAAGGTGAAGAAGACCTGGAAATGGGTCTGTGTTGGTGCAGTGAAGGAACCCACCGACCCGCATAAATCAGTGTTGCTATGCAACTGCCTGCACTGAACCCACCCAGGCCTTTCCATCCTTTTTAAGCTCAGCTCAGACCTCACTCAGTCACTTGCCTTTATGCAGCGCACGGGCTCGTCCACCGGACATTAAAAAAATTGTGAAAAAGCTCATCTTTTTTCCCTTTTTTGGGTGCTAAATCTTCACAAAATCCCAAGTACCTTGGGTTTCAAAATTGGGGAATCATTCAGTTTGATGTGATTGTACGAAATCATGGTGTGTCGAGTTCATGGATACTCAAAGATGTGGGCTTTCTGTGAGGCTCCTCATGAAGTGGGTACCCATTGTTCTAATAATCGTTTCATGAGTTTGTAATTGTCGCATAGTGGTGCAGGCAGCCCAACAATCTTGAAGTCCAAGCCCAATTTCTAGTTGCTTAACCAGCTCCCTAACCCCGCTGCCGCTCATTGCTCCGAAAACCTCTGAAATCTACGGCTGTGGGGGCAGAGATGGGGCTTGGAATTCTAAGATCCATTGTCCGACCCCTAACGAGGATCGCCACTTCCCGACCACCATGTCCGGTCACTTCCACTTCCGCGAAACTGGGGTTTCATGTCCCTTCAACTCAAGCTCCTTGGTCGTTCCAAATTGGGAACCATTTCCACAGTTTGACCGACACTCGGTTTCCGAAGAGACGGCCCAGTGATAAAGCTCCTTGTTCTTTGAATTGGATGTTTGATTCCATGAATTAATGGTTTCAAATGCTTTGTTTTCTGAATGGCAGGGCCATATGCTTGGGTTCAATATACCCCTGGTGACCCAATTCTTCCCAATCAACCGAATGAAGGGAGCATTTATTCTGGTTCGTATGTTATGATATAATCAACTTTGAAGCATTGTTTTGGTGACTTTTCTCTTCTTTACTGGCTTCATAGCTCCATAACCATTGCTGTGCTTTGCTGTTCTATTATAAACTGTCTAGTGAACTGCACATTGTGGTATGCTAGGTGGATGTCCCACGTTTTAAAGTCTTAAGGGGAAAAGCCTAAAGAGGATAATATCTGCTAGCGGTGGATTTGGGGCGTTACAAATGGTATCAGAGTCAGACACTGAATGATGTGCTAGCCTTCTCGCTGTTCCCCAAAGGGGTAGACACGAGGCGGTATGCCAGTAAAGACGCTGGCCCTAAAAGGGGTGGATTGTGATGTCCTATGTTGGTTTGGGAAGAGAACAAACCTCCTTTATAAGGGTGTGGAAACCTTCCACTAGTAGATGCGTTTTGAAGCTTTGAGGGGAAGCCCGAAAGGGAAAGTCCAAAGAGGACAATATATGCCAATGGTGGAACTGGGGTGTTACACTAGCTGAATACATATAAATCATGACTTGAATAGGTTATTCTCACGGCTGCAAATAGGCCCGGGAGAGGTTTTCACCCATTTATAAAGAATGTTCGCTCCCCCTCTAACTAACGTGGGATCTCACAGTCCACCTCAAGGAGAGGTTTTCACACTCTTGTAAAGAATGATTCGTTTCACTCTCCAACCAATGTGGGATCTCACAATCTACCTCCTTTGAGGCTCAGCTCTACTCTCCTTGATACTATTTATAACAATCTAAACCCACAGTTAGTAGATATTGTCCTCTTTGTACTTTCCCTTCTAACCTTCTCCTTAAGGTTTTAAAACGCGCATGTTAGGGAAAGGTTTTCACATCCTTAAAACGTTTAGTTCCCTTCTCCAATCAAAGTGGGATCTCACAATTCAACACTAGCGTTTTAGAAGATATTTGGAGAAGTGGGAGGGCTTGAAAGGCTGAAATTGTGGAAGCTTGTAACGGGATTTGCTAATGTGCGTATAACTTAGTTAGTTAACGCGTATATCCTCGATTGGTGTGAAATTTGTTCATGGAATTAAACGTGTCCCCTTCCCCTTTGTTCATGGTTAAGGCGTATACTCTCAACCAATGAGTCCGATACATTTATGTACCATTACCAAAAGACTTGCTGGTTGGTATGTGCAGGCTGAAAAAAAGAAGAGGAAAGCTCAGCTTCAAGAGGCAAAGAAGAAGAAAAAACTAAGTTACGATCCAAGTTCATACATAGACAGCAAACCTGTCCTGTCTTTTGGTAACCTAGTACACAGACACAGACAGCAAAACTAGGATCAAGACATAACTCCATTTTCTGAAGCTCAGAGTTGTATTATTCTATAGTAGTCCAATAGATGGATGTTTGTGTGTGTCATGATGATGAAGGAGACTCATTGATTGGTTCTCGATGTGTCTGAGCCAGCCATGACTTGACTTAGAGTAGAGGCAAGTCGGTTAGAGTCGCAACGAGTTGGTGATGTTAGTTTTCTGCATGAATTGTGTTCGGTTAACAGAGGAGAACCTTGCCTATGATTCAATGAAACTGCAAAGTTCATCGAAATATGAAATAGAACTTGAGTTCTTTCTTAGTCTTTTCATGAACAGATCGAGATCATGACGACCGTGTGAAAAGGGTACTGATTGAATGCAAAATCTTAAATCAAATTTACCCCAACTACACGGCATTTGTTTTTGTATGTAAGAATCTAAGCCACCACACAGCCTACGGGTATCAGTATTGGCTGTAGCCTCCTCCTCATAAAGCCCTCAACTTTCTGAATGGTTGCTGCTGCTTTTGCAAATCTCTCTTCCCTTTACTCCATTTGGAAGCTCTTATCACTACATGCTTCTCCCCTACGCCTTTCCCATTTTTTCATACTCACTCTTCTCGATGCCATTTGACACTTCAGGACCTTCTGATTAAAGTGGACAATATCACACCAAACATCTCGAGCTCGAGATGTACCCTTGAAACCACCTGAATGTTCAAAAAATGTGGAATCCAATACCGCAAGATGCGTAAATAGAAAGTTCATAGATGCTCAATTGTGACATTTTTTACAAGGGTGTGAAAACCTCTCATTCGATGCATTTTAAAAACTTTGAAGAAAATGACAATATCTACTAATGGCAGGCTTGAACTAGAAAAACTCTAAACAGGACAACATCTACTAACCGTAGGCTTGAGCTATCACACTAATACACAAAGGAATTAGTACCCTCTATTCACAAACTCCTGCCTCCTCCTTGCTAACCTACAATAATTCGGCCCCAACCCAACCACACTCTTCATCAACATCCCTTTTGATAGGACCGTGGTCGAATTGTAGCGGCCTCGTTGGATAATTTTTTTTATTCAAACTACTTCCCAAAGGGTTTCTTTCCAATACAATAACGGGTAGAACAAAACATGTTTGAAAATAATGATGATAATTTGGTGAAAAAACAGGCCATGCATGCATGCAGTAAAAGGGGCCATTGTCCCTACATCTGTACACAAGAGGGCCGGCCACGGACCCCTACTATGATTTCATATCATATATATTTACCAACTTTATTTTAATGATTTTCTTTTAAAATCTTTAAACACTAGAGATTAAGCTTCTGAAAAAACAGCAATACTAATCATCGTACATCCTAGACATCAATACTTGGATAAACTAATGTTACAAGCAGTTAAAGTTGCCACAATTGGCGTCGAAAAAACACACACTGAGCTGAGAAACCGAGAAATAAGTTGTCGTGTTTGTGATAGGAGTGTACACGAGCTGCATCGAGTTCAATTGGAGTTGAAAAAGTCGGGTTGGTTGAGCTAACCCAACCAAAAAAAATGTCAACCAACAAACAGATGGTTCGAATCTTCAATTTTCCAAACCCTAAAAAAAATCTAACCCAACTTAACTTCGATGGTTTGAGTTGGGTAATTCAAGTTAGTCGGATTTTCGAGCTATATAAACACTATAATTTGTAATGGTTCAAATCCCGACATGATATGTCAACCAGCAAACCCCATAGAATCTTCAATCAAAATTTCAAACCACACCCCAAACCCTAAAAAAAAAATCTAACCCAACCTAGCTTTAATAATTTGAGTTGATTAGATTCTCGAGTTATATAAACACTTTAATTTGTGATATTTCAAATCCGAACCGGGTAATTGATAATATATATGGGCGTAATTCTAAGTTTTGCA